TTTTTCTGTGTGTGTTTGGGGACCCCTGCTGCCCCCCCTCGGGGGAGCCCTGGTGGACCTCAACCTCACAGAGACCCCCCTGCCTCTGCCTGTGCTGGGATTAAAGGCGTGTGCCACCAATGCCCGGCTGAAGATTATTTCTTTAGCTATGTCACCTGCATACCTTCTGGGATAGACATACATACACAAGTTATGCATGTACTCTTGATGAGTGGAAGAATGGTACATTTACTGGGAAAAAAAGTTATAGTACAGTTCCATATGTTTCAGGATAGGCTGCATAGTGAGTAGAGCACTTTGAACCTAGTAGGCCAGCTTTAAAATTTTGAGGTGTGCCGGGCAGAGTGGTGGCACACACCTTTAGTCCCAGCACTCAGGAAGCAGAGGCAGGGGGAGGCCAGCCTGGTCTCCAAAGTGAGTGCTAGGATAGGCTCCAAAGCTACACTGTCTTGAAAAACCAAAAAAAAAAAAAAAACAGAAATTTGAGGTATACGACCTGAGTCTACACTCTAGCATATTAACTTGTTCCCAGAATGACACTGAGCAAATTGCCCCCATCGTTAGTTTTCAGTTTCCTTTATATATAAAATGAGGCTTGTCATTACTCTATCCAAGTATATAGCCTAGCATTCCTGTTGTTGTATAGCCTAGAATTCCTGTCATATCAGCACCAGGGAGGCCAAAGCAGAGGATGACAAGTTCCAGGCAAGCCATGACTGTATAGCAAGTTCTTTTAATCTCAGAGGAGCATGGGACAGGCATAGTTTTAATCCCTGAACTCAGAAGGCAGAGGCAGACAGATCTCTGTGAGTTCAAGGCCAGCCTAGTTCATATAAGTGAGTTCCAAGCCAGTTAGTGAGACCCTGACTCAAACAACAACAACACTATTAGTAAATGAAATAGCATGGGGCAGTAGTGTGCAAATCAGTAGATTCTCACTCATTTCAATGAGTGCCATTAAACAAAAGGGAAAGATAGAATATGTCTACATATGTGTTCTCATACACAGGTAGAAAATAGCAGCATCTGGTTCTTAGCCCCATTGAGCCAGTCTTCTGTAATGCCTAGATAAAGCAGCAAGACCCAAGCAAAAATATAAATCAAAGACAGTTAATATGGGGCAAAAGGGATGATAGTAAAGAAAAGGAAATAAAATGTATTTTATTCAGAAAATTCAGAAAAATAGCTTTAACAAAGCAAAATTGAAAGAAACCTTGGGGCTGGCATAAAGATTAATGATGGTAAGCACGTTCTAGAAGTCATGGACATGATGAAAGAAGGTTGTAACTGCCACCATTGTCGGTGAGGCAAGAGAGGTTAGTCAGAACTGCAAGAGAGCTGAAGAGGGAAGCAGGTCACAGACTCTCCTCCCCCACCCCAGGGAGTCAGTTCTATCCCTTTGACTCCTTTATGAAGGACCAGGTATGGAACACTCAGCTCTCCTGGCCTGGTTTGTGAATGTTTCTGGAACAAGCTGTTTACCCCTTAATTGGAGACTATAAAATTACTGTTAGCTTATGTTAGTTGAGGAGGCTTTAACAGAATTACTATTGACTCAGTGACTTAAACAACAAACACTTACTCTCTCAGCCCTGAAATTCTGACATCAAGTGCTAGCATAGTCCTCTTCTAGTAAGAACTTTCCTCTCATGTCCTCACAGATGTGTGTACACACATGTGCTCATACTGTCTGTCTCTCCTCCCCCCACCCCATAATCTGGGCTGGAACTCCTCTCTTATTTCCTCACATATACTCTAGCACAGGAAGTAGAGACAGGATAGGAAGTGGCAACAGGCTAAAATACTCAAGGACCCTACATTTCAAAGGTTCCATTGCTTTCCAAAACAGCAATACTAGGTTGGCACCAAATACCCAAATACATGATCCTGTGGGGCCTTTTGCACTGTAACCACAGCAGTAGTTAAACTATGTAAGAGCAGCCCACAGTAGGATGAAGATTTACTCAGAAATAAGCCTTGCATCTAAGTGTTGCAGAGTGAAGGTGCATGAATCGGAAGGCTTAATGAAGTGTCTTGCCCTGCCCTGCGGTGATCTGGATGTCACAGACCTGATTTGACCTTATTAGTACAAATGCATTGCTTTGTATTTTTGGAGGCATTTTGTTGCATTTCTGAAGTTACATAATACAGAGCTATATACAGAGAGAAAATACTCAAGTATTGGTATAATTGAAAAATATTTGTGTTTTCTTTTTTCAGATGTTTAGTGCCAAAGAAATTGAATTGCAGGTAACTGAAATAGAAAAAGAAAAGGAGGAAGTAGAGAAGAAAAAATCAAAGAAGCCAAACTAGTTCTTAGGGTGAGCTCTAGGAGTTCCAGTTTTGTGTGGATTAGAATTTCTTCCTGAGGTTTTGGAAGAAACAAATGAGTTGGAACCAACCACTGAGTTTTTCTATCTTCATCTTCAAGAATGTCAGGTTTGACATTGTCTTCAAACATAGGTTCATGTGAAGATTTTCTTTAAAATTCCTCACTCTCACACAAGCCCGAGACTGTACTGTGAAGCATGTCCAGTATGATGCTTTTCTTCATACAAGAAAAGTCTAGAAAAGAAGATGATTTTGAAAGATGGTAATTTTTTGAAGTTTTTTTCTTCTTCGCTGTTAGCTAAGGAGCTTGTCATCTCAAAATAAGTTGACTGCAACACCAAGCTGCATCCCTGGATGAATCGTAAGAACATCAATGTATTGGTGACAAAATCATATGTGCTGACTCAGGAGACTGAGGCAGGAGGATTGCAAGTGTGACAGTGTGATAGGTGCTAAGAATACAGTGACAAGAATAAACTCAGTTTGTTGGCTTTTCTTTTTTAAGACAGGGTTTCATTTAGCACAGGCTGGCATCAAATGCCCTTTGTAGCCAGAGGATGACCTTGAACTCCTGAGTCTCCTGTCTCCACCTCCCAAGTGATTACAGGTGTGGTACTGCCATGTCCTTATTACTATATAGTTGAAAGATGAGCATTAAACCACAATGATTTTCATTTGGGATTATTGTTGTGAAACTCTTTGTGTCTGTCTTCTCTTCTAATTTAGAGGTTCTATAGGAGCTTTAAGGCTTGATTCTAGATCACATTCATCTTTGTTCTGACAGTTTGCCTATGGTATGACTTAATAAATGCTTGTAAAGTTGTTATCTTATGGATTGACTCTTTTAAAGCTGGGCATTGGGAGAAAAAGGTGGACTAATCACCCATCTAATTACTTGTCAAGTGCTCAATTTGTTCATCTCTTTGGCACATAATGGGATGGTCCCAGAGTCAGTGAAAAATTACATACTTGCATACATGCATACACATATATGTATATATGCACACACACATACAAAGTGGATTCTTAAGTCAAAACAGGCCCACTTCCGGGAGTGGGAGACATTATTATATAAAAGTATGTGGTCCTAAGAAAGCTGAAGGCACAGTAGTTTGAAATGGCCTTCATATAGTATTGATACACACTGAGCAAATAGGAAAATTGACAAGATCTGATCCTGGTCCAGAAGAGGTCATAATGCCAAATAGTTGAACTCATTCTTACAAATTTATTAATGCTAAAAGTTTTATTTCTTTTACAACCTGTGAATTTAAAAAGGCTATGTTGCTAGTGGTTTTGGAATTTAAAAGAAATCTTCTATAATAAATGTCAAATAGGATACTAAATTTTTAAAAAGAAAATGAAATACTTTATGAAGAAAAAAGGGGACAAATCAGGAAAAATGTAAGCTACGACAGTTTATTTAAAATGTAGCAATCTTTCAGGAAGAAGCGGAATGCTGGGCTGGAGAGATGGCTCAGTGGTTAAGAGCACTAACTGCTCTTCTAGAGGTCCTGAGTTCAATTCCCAG